GGTCATTCTAATTAGTCATCAAAATTTATACAAAAGTAACCTAACGCTTTACTCACGTGACGCATAACTGGTCTACAAAAGTTCAACAAACGACGCCTACATAAATGTTATCAGGTTGGTTGTGAATATTTCATTGAATAGTGTAGTGATTGCGCATGGTGAGTCAAGTGTCACCACGACAACAGTCAATAATATGTTGATAAATTGAGAGACACGCGCACATAAGGACCTGTAAAGCAATTGTGGCTTATGGCTCACTGTTGTAAAGGTGTCAAGACCAGTAGTCTAAAGACTGGTAGGTGTATTAAACGGAATATGTTCTATCCAGAGCACTAAAGAAACTGAAAATCGCTGATGTCATTCAAGACAGGTGACTTTAGTGGCAACCCTAGCAACAAGTGAAATAACCAATCAGCCTTTTTTATCTTAGGAAAATCTGCCCTTCCAGCCGAAATGAAGAAGCCTGATTGGTTACCTTGATCGTTGCTAGGATGACCTTTAAAGTTACCCCATTCAGACAGATCTAGTTGGAAACTTTGCACATGATTGAACAAACTAATGAAACCGTTACCTCCAGGATTTTAAGAATACTGTAGAATGTATCGAAGGCACCTATAGATATACTAATATTGCAATATTTTGTACATACCACGAACCTTCCTGTTACCATAAAGTTGGGCAACAGGGTCAGTGGGATTGAGACTTGTTGGACAAGTGGTAAACACAGTGTCATCATATTATAGCAGTTGTTCGGATTCTACCAAAACCCAGGTTTTCATTCGTTTCAACCATCACCCTGAATACAAAGAAGACCAATCTGCCAACAATCGTTGATTAGTATTATACACATGTATCCATTCAAAACTGGCAGTTTGTCAACTAAAGGTCACCTGTGATGTTACTGATGGATATTAGCTAGGAGTGGAATTTAGGTTGCGTATTTCATCCTTTTGAAACTCGTCAGCTAGATATGTACCTGCCTCCCACTGAATGTTATCCCCACCAAGACTCGAACTTGGGGTTGATCGCTTCAAATATCACAGCGTTATCCACCAGACCACTACTGAGTCACACCAGTCACCCCTTTCACTGCTAGCTATCAATAATATCGACTTTAGAAAATACCGGAAATATCGAGAATTCCTGACAGGGGTTCATATGTCAATAGTGGTCGATCAGTTCGGTACAATCAGTCATTGAAGTTAGCTTAGTTTTCTAGATCACCTATCTTGGTCACATAGTTATAATCTGTTATTCGTTATGAACTTCTAATTTAAATACATAACTCCAGGGGTTATGAATGGATCATTTCGTTAGTGTGAAATATCCGAAGAATATGAACTAACTGAGGTGTATACCGAACTATGACAGCATTATTTGAGTAAGTTAGTCAGTAAGTTCCCTACTATCATCAATAAATAGTTTAGTTAAAAGTGTACTGAATCCGTTTCGCAAACAAGGGCTAATTGTACCAGAAATTTACCGTTTTAAGTAGAGTAACCAACCTTCTGGATTGTTTTAATATTTATTTGTCGGAAATGTTCTGAGGTGAGGATCCTGACGATGATCATGCAACTCCGTAATCCTACCACTATCAACAGCTTTTCAACATGGAAATATAGGGTACAATATTGTGTTGTGTAACTTCGTGTATTATTCTAGGCGGAGAGAATTTCAAGTAGATTTGCTTTATGTATTCAAGTCTTGTTTAGAGTGAATATTTCACTGTTAATCAAGATAATCGATGATTATCTAAAATGGTGGGCTAAGTTTAGTTTACTATTGAAAATCCCCCCTTAAAAGAAACCTATATTCTTCCATACTGAGAGAGAAGTAGTCGATTCTCTTTAGAATGAATATTCTGATACATCTGACTTCTCATCATTACTTGACTGGAAGAAAATATATGAATCACTTGATAGGTAAACACATAAAGTGAATATATGTTTGTAACATCTGATCTCAATTTTTTTTAGTTATATGAGCTAATCAAAGGTTACTGTTTCAAATTTGGGTGTAATTTTCAAAATAAAGAGGATTTGTACTTGATAATCAGAAGAGAACAACAAGACCAGAGTAATAGCTATTGGTACTTGGATGATGATTAGTAAGAAAACAGAAAGGAGGTAGTTAGGTACCTTTCAGACACACATAGGTATTAAAACCTATGAACTATTAAATACTGTTATAAAGAATGACCTTAAGGTACTATTTGTATGAAATGTGGGTGAACGTGGATAAAAAAGTGCGCTAAAAACCAGCCTAAAAATCTTCTAGTTCATTCAAACAATACATAACAATGTATGATTTAAATAGATGTCTGATAAAAACTATAAATGATAATCATAAACAGAAATGATAATAAATGGAACTCAAAAACTGAGGGACTTTAAATACCATCCTAAAATCCTGTCAAAACCCAGATTGTCATTTTACCTTCAATCATCACCAAGTCTCAACTTGTAGTGACCAATTAGATATATAAATTTCAGCTAAAAGGAGTAGTTTCCCCAGAAAATGAAAACCAACTGGCTTTTTCAGTAGTTGTTAAGTTGATCTTTAGAGACCCTCCAAAAATGAGTGACCTCAAAGGTCACCCAAGCAACTATTGAGACAACCATATTTGGTTGTCTATTTTATGAAAGACTAACCCCAGAGTCCAAATACTAAAATCTGACTGGTTATTACAGCAGTTGCCAGAGCGACATTTAAAGTCATCCAAAAAATTTGCTACACATTTACAAAACAACTGGTTATGAGTATCAAGTATCTCTAACGAACACTAACAACTATGATGAAATGACCAATCACATGTCTTTATTTCATACCAAAAATAACTGCAGCTGAAATACGAGAACGGATTGGCTTGTTGTAGCTGCTTGGTCGGCTCCAATTTTGTGTATTTATAATGCGATAACAAGCCTAGGCTGAAGCAGGCTGTCCTAGCAATGACCGATATAGCTAATTGTTTTTCCTCACTTCTGTTGGAAAGGCTGATTTTCACAAAATAACGTAGTCTAATTGGTTATTTCAGTTGTTATTGTTGTTAAGGTGGCCTTTAGAGTCACTCTGCAAAAGTACAACAAAACAGCCGGTGTTGACATGCATAGGTCAGTGAATCATTACTCCACTACATTAAATAGGTAAACAGGGAAAGTAACCAATTTGTTCAATTTCTAGTTTGAGCGACGCATAATGATGCTTTTTATTGCCTCTATGAAATGATCTATTTTGATTCATTTAAACAAAGCATATCACAGATTTAGTCAAATATACCACAGATACTGAGTAACCATCTGGTTGATTACACTAGAATTTGGACACGATCTCAGTAGTTTTTGTGATTTTGTGGCACAACTTTGTTTTTATGTTGGTTGCATGCGTGGGAGGCATAAATACGGTTTCTCTACTCTTTACATTAGTGATACAAATTAAATGATAAAAACTCAAAGAATATTCATACAAGGCCATAAATAGATGAGTCATTCCATAAGATACTTGTGAGCCTAGCTGGATGCCTGGAATCCAATTGGAAGAGAGACAAGATTCAAAACCCTCATGGTATGAAACACATTTGTGTGACCTAGGGAAAAAAATATTTTGAAGCTATTTAAAACTTTGCTAGACAATGCGTTAACGAGATACGCTACTGAAAAACACAAGTAGCTTGAATCCATTCACCTCATCAGTAGAGACAGAAAGTGAACCCACTAAGATAAGTAAGAGGCATAATAGTATCCAAACGATAGCATACGTTTGAATAAGGAAATCTGCAAATGTCACTGTTCTTGTCTGATTCAAATATGTCAAAGAAACTAATTGGATAACTGCATGTTGATAAGCTGTTTGGTTTTTATCAACAAGGCTCACTATATGTAATTCTTTATGCTCTTAAACAAGTTCAGAGAGCAACTGCTTCCCACTTTAAGGATAAGAAACAATCCTTCAACATTCAGGAGTGACTTTAAAGGCCACTCTAAACACTACTGAGATAACCAATTATAGTTCTGTGTTCTGTGCGAAACTAACATCCCAGCCGAAGTGACGAAATTAGATTGGTTATTTCAGTCGTTGCTAGAGTGGTCTTTAAAGTAACGACCGATAGCTGCCACCTTGATGTAGAGGGCTTACATACCACAATGACCCAACGAGCTATACTGGTGGAACACTTGTTCCCTCGAGGTCCTATCATACCAGAAAGGTCTGTCAGATAGTGGTTAAACGAAGAGCGGTTATCGTTATAGTGTGGATTACTACACTATGATGGGGGCCTCGGGGCGAAGTCGTACTACTGCCAGCCGGATGGGATGTGACAGCAGTAAGGTGTTTCCCTTGTATGACCAACGATGCTGATGCTGCCTTCTCATCCTAGGGAGGGGGGAGGGTTAGGAAAGGTTGGCCCAAAAATAACACACTCCACCATACCTCACCATCTGGAGGGTCAGCGGTGTTCGTTCATTTGTCATTTCTTTTCGACCATCTGGCCCCAAAACAACAAAAGTTCAGAACAAGCATACACGAAAGACTGCGTGTAACAGGCCTCAAGCAGATGTCCGATGGGCTCTGCCGTCACACAAATCTTTTTCTCTTTCAGGCACCTTAAGCAGAAATAGCCTTCTATGGTATAGGTAGCCAGGAAGTGTCAACCACCCTCACAACTCTGTCATCACTCAAATTTCCTCAGACTGCTATCCACCTCCCTCATCATTGCCTTCTCATCTTCTTTCCCGTCTTTCAACTAACGAAACTTCATCATCTTCAATTTCTCCTAGCTCTTTAGCCTTCGACAACGATCTGAGTTTACAGAATAGCATCCTTGATCTGTTTAAACCACGCTCCAAATTACATATTGAAGCCTTTAATGTCCACATCCTCCGTCAAATTGGTCAACAGGCTTCGTTGGCCAAGACCCTAGCAACTCGGAGCATGGATGTATGCTGCGTTTGTGAGACACGCATATAAAACCTGAGTGCGGTTATTCACCTGACTTCTCCCGGCCAATCTGGTGAATCCGCAAAATTCACCCTTCGAGTTTCTGGAGATTTAATGGCTAGCTCTCACGGTCTTGCAGGTGTAGGTTGGGCTAGGGAGTTATCGGGACAGAAGACCATCACTCATCCAGAAGAAGCTTAGTGTCACCTCCAGTCTTCTTTAAAATCAGAGCTGAAGACCGTAGCCGACTCCGAAAGAGTGGCCAAAAATAGTCAGTGGATATCAACAGCTTCTTTCGAACTTATGGATGCACGTGAAAGCATCCCGGCTTGCAGGCTCTGAGTACAATGAAGAGCGAGCGCAACTAAAACGTAGATTGATGAAAAGTCTGCGCAACGATCGCGAACAGTGGTGGGCAGCGAAGGTTAAACAGATGGAAAAGGCGGCGGCGATTGGTAACAGTAGACAGTTATTTAGACTTATTAAGGAGACTGGGGGAAAAAGGTCAACAACAGTTAGTGAGACCATAGCGGAGAAGGACGGATCTGTGATTCACTCGCAGGGGAGACGACTGGAACGATGGGTAGAACACTTCGAGGAACAGTTTAACTGGCCTCCAGCCACCAGTGCGTTGCCCGCTATCCAGTCGCATCCTGAATCGGACATAGAGATAGGCCTACAAACACTAGAAGAAGTTGAGAAAGCGGTAGGTAACTTGAAACGAGGAAGGGCAGCAGGACCAGACGGACTAACTCCAGATGTATACAAGGATGGTGGTGGAGTGCTCTTAGTCAGGTTAACGGAAGTGTTAACTAGTATATGGGAATCAAATACGATCCCCTCCAACTGGTCTAAGTCACGCATTATCCCAGTCTTCAAGAAAGGCGAGAAGTCCTCTTGTGACAACCACAGAGGAATCAGCCTGACGAACATAGTATCCAAAATCCTAGGTTCTAAAATTATCCGATGCCTGAGTGGAGCTCGGGAACTGCAAGCCGAGAAAATCAGGCAGGTAGGATTTAGACCCGCCAACGGGTGTGTCGACCAAATATTCAAACTGCGCCAGGTTTTGGAACACAGACATGCTTACCGACACCCGACAATAGCTGTATTTCTCGACCTGAAGGTGGCATATCAACTCCGTTGATCGAGAAGTCTTATGGCAATGTCTTTCACTGAAAAGCGTGCCGAGTAAATACATCAACTTATTGAAGGCTCTCTACTCGAACACTTGTGGGCATGTTAGAGCCTATAGTGAGATATCCAGGGAGCTGTGCTCATCAAGGCTGCCCACTGTCTCCATTCTTATTCAATTTTATCATAGATATTCGTATTCCGTGGTGTCACCATGTGAGTAACACAGAAGTCAGGTGTAGAGTTTTAGGGAGAAGAGGCAAATCAGTTGATGAGGTTTTGAACCTTCAGCGACTGAGATGATTGGGGCACGTGTTACGTATGCCTAGTCACCTATTGCCTTGTCACACAATGTTGGGTGAAGTATGTTCAGGCTGTAAAAATGCTCAAGGCGGCCTGACCAAAACATGACATCAATGTATGAAGTCTTTGACTGTTGGTTCGAGCCCATTTAGTAGATGCAGACTAGGTGGTTGGGGTGTGCGGGACAAGAGAAACCAGTGGTTGGAGACTCTAGATGATGTGGCTGAGAATCAATGTCAGTGGTGCAGATGTATACACACATTATTCTCATCTTAACGCTATACTGAATCTCACTATCTTCTGATCCTTCCTTTCTCTTTTAGTACTGTATATTTCCTTCGACAGAATTTTCTTATCTTCATCTTCCACTTCACTGCTCTTTTACTTGATGTACTGGTATGAGCTGTGGCAACTCGGACCGTTACGCAGTAGTGCCTGGTCCTACGTTGATTTGGATGGATGGATGGAAGTAACTGAGATTCATGATGTTGACATTGTATCATTTCTACCTTAGTTTAAATATTCGGTTTCAGTGTATCGCAACCAAACCATTGAACGCTTAGAAGTATTTTTAATTTCGGATATTGTCTAGATCAAGTTTTACTTATTTGTTGAAAGACTTTATTTATGGGTAGGGGGAGAGTGTTATGAACACTATTATTACATGATATAGTTTGTTAGTCGTCTTGTAGGTTTGTTACAGGAAATGACAGACAGAAAAGAGATGTTAATAATAACCTGTGCGCATAGCATATAGCCTCATAATGACATACAAAACAGTGTATGCTTTCCTAGGAATCTTAGTGGAAATACGCAACTCAAATACAACACCTAAGAGTTTCAGATATATCAAAAGGAATCTGCCGCGTCCATTTCTTTGGAGTCATAGGGGTGACTTGGGAAGATATCCAGCGGCACAACAGCTGAATGTATCTCGTTACTAAAACATCGAATGTAGTTTAAATCATTCAATTTCCCTCAGTATCGTATGGAAGAATTAAACGTCATTAGAAATTTTACTGAATTGATAAAACACCATACTTTCAACAGAACTAAAGCAGAAACGTAAAGTTTGTGTTAGTTTTTGCTGAAATATTCATGTTTATGGACAGCTGGAGAATATAGAATGTTACATTAATCGACACTATACAATTAGCCTATGCGCGATCGACTACCTGTGTTGTGTATAATTGGAAGCTGAAATCGAACACATCCAGGACTTTCGTCATTTATTTATGGCATAAACGTTTTCTATCATACCTACCATTGTTACCGGAATAACACCCATGATGAGTTTACACCGTGAGTCATCCTCAAGGTCGTTCAAAAAATCTAAATGAACCATCCGGCTTGATAATATAACACACTCCATAAGGTAAATAAAGAAACAAATGAGTGACTGGTCGATTGACTGACTGACTCACCCAATTTATTAATCAAAGTACGACTGAATTGACTGAGCATATTGAAAAACCTAAACATGTCTGAAAGATAATTTCCTGTTTCTTATTTTCAAGAGCTGTAATGTCTGTTAGATTATTAATGTAGAAGAAAAAATTTTCCCCTTTGAACATATATGCACCGAAATTATATCTCCGTATATAATAAAGACAGTGAATAAAGAAACAATAACAGATAGAGAAGGAAAAGACTCATTGTAAAATTTAAATAACGGTACTCACGAAAACACATACACATATACCAACAGGTAGAGAAGAAATAATCCCTTCTTTTCCTTCATTTATACATTGAATGCTGAACAACGAGACTTATAAAACGGTAAATACGATAAATGGAAGACAAGCTGAACTTGATTTGCAAAAGAGAAATATGAAAAGAGGTAGGAAGGACGAAATAACAGTAGTCATAATTATAAACAGTATATCTATCAGACCGCCATTGATTGGATTGTCAAACGATCTCTCGAATTGATATTTTTATTCAGACAGAGTGAATAATATGTTAGTCCAGTATACACGCATACACATCTTAAAAGGAAGAAGGTACACAAATGAACGAGAAACAGGATATCAGTGGACAGGAGACCGGCGTGTGTACGTTAATGAAGGAACTAGGGAAAAGCAAAGGATGAATGCATTTAAGTCAGCGTTATTGATTTCATGTCAAACCACTAAAAGTTTTCCACTATCAACCCCAGCTATATCAAACCCTAAGAAGTTAGTCATGAAGTGTTCATACAACTCGGACTAATATAATAGTTAGTAATATTCATGGATTAATGTCATTTTTTATAGTCTGATTATGCTGAACACATCTCTAACATACTCCTAATCATGGAGACAGTGGCTCAATATAGCTAATAAAGCAATTGTTTCGTTTAGTATATATAGCTTGATGGTCCAATTAACTGACCGCCTTTGTTTGAGTAATATTTTACACCCAGCTTCAGTACTGCTAGCCAGTTGTTTCACGGTGAAGTAATTCGTACAGCTTTCTTCAAAAACTGATAAACCTTGTTGGGCAGTCCATGTTTGTTTTTATGCACGAGTATTTTCGTGTGTATTTCATTGCGTTAATGTTGGTTATGGCTACCATATTTTGACGAAAACTGTTTGTTAACCTGTGGTGTTTGTGAGGTGGGAAAACTTGAACTGATTTATACGCTTATGCCAAGCATTCGTCTATCTATTGCAGTTTACTGCAGAAAAGTGTTGCAGTATTCCTTTGTCAATGCTTCAAACTTAACAGTACTCAGCAAATAAAATACAATGCATTCTCTTTTTCACTGTGTAGGTCACAACGACCAGTTATAAAAATAAAGATAAAAATAATGGCGCAATTCACTAACCATATTTAAGTTCGTAAACTAGACTAGGACTAATGATATAATATTACCTGACTGCTGAAACCTCTGTTGTTGGCGTTGAAAACGAGCCCGTGATCAACTGGTTCATAGTCAAGTGCCTAAACCAATGAACCATGTCTTCACTTGCGATTGGCTAGTATGGTAGGGAAATGCTTGGCTTATTGTGTAGTCAGTATTTAGGAGTTATCTGCAAAAAAATAAGTCAGTGTATAAAAAGTAACAGAGAGAACAAATGAGCAGAACACTTTTCATATGTAAGCGTAAGCCACAGCAGACGTTTAATGTGTAATGAAAACGAAAACAGTTCCCGAATGGCTATTTATTGACCTCTTATAGTGTCATGAACCTGAGTCGATGAAAGTAGAAATCCTAATGATCAATTGTAGATAATTTCCAGATAGAAAGGTGTATACGGTTGGACACCTCGCTTAGACTTGTCTTGGAATTTTACTATAGAGGCAGAAGTAAGTGTAAATCGCTTTGAACAGCTTGCACATATTATAGAATACTTTTCAACACCGCATCAGACTATCCCTACCTATTGACATCATCAAGAGTACCAGTATTAAGGCGCTAAATCTTCGGCTTTAGGATTTGCTTTGTGAAGTTAAAGGCCATGAAACAGTTTCAAAGACATTTCAGGTACTTTGATGACACCAAAGTGATCATTTAAAAATGCAAATTACCTGACAGTTGTTTCTTCGCAGTTTAAAGGTGATTCTTTCATAATCTTCTAAACTCATCATCTGTGCCGCGGGAAAAATTCAATCCAGATAGATGAACTTTCTAGTCTACTCATTTAAAAATATGGTTTCATCGTCTTTTAATTCTGTATAGAATTAACACCGCTATGAGTAGAGCTTGTGATTAATGACCAGTTAAGACCATTAGTCAGTGAGCACCAGCATGGAACCTGGGATTGATCCTCAACGGTGCAAATAGTCACACTTCATACCAGTGTGTCAAGGTATAAGGCGTCAAAATGAAAAATAAACCCAGAAAAACGAGGAGAAAGGTGAATAGATCTGCATTTGTGAGTCTAATTTTGAGCTATTTCACCTAAAGTCTCCAATACTGGTTTCTGTTGTCACGCGGACCCCAGACAGCAAGTTAACATTTCCCTACCCGACTCAGGCTAACAGTCAAAGACTTCGTGCACTGATGCGATTTTTTAACGTCAACACCCTTAACTTTTTTCCACTTTGAACTTACTTCAATCAACATTGGACAAAGAGGCAGACTATGACTAGGCATGTGTGACACATGTCCTAGTCACTGGAGTCGATGAGGTTATGACTTTCATCTCTCTGAAACCCTCCGCCTGACTGACATAGTGGCACCACAACAAACGGCCTATGCTGCGAAGGCAACGCTGTTTGAAAACCTCAAGTCTTCTCATATCTGCTAAGTTTAATGGCCATGTTTTACAGCCATCTAGTAAAAAAAAGGCTGAACTAGCGCGGTGTTCACTCGGCCCTTAATAGGCAATCCAATATCACGATGACCCTATAAATGCCATAAAAAGACAAAAGCCAATCAGACCTTTTGTTCACTGACCCTCCTACTACTTCAAGAATGTGAAGTGGTTAACACGCTCAACCTCTTCGCTCCGTATTGTCAGACAAGGCACCAGCTAAGGCCAGTTCTGAAGCGAAAATTTGCATCCACAAACTGTCACTCATGGTGTCCAAAAGACTTTATGTCTTTTCACCTAGCAAAAGTATGTCATCTGCCTGCAATAGGTTTACTTAGAAATCCCCCATGATGAGTTCGACCGCGGTAACATCAGACTAAGAGGCACAGGCCTATATAAGCGTGTATATGACGAGAACTAAGTAAGAATGAAGAGAATAAAACTATACTGTTCATTTCGCATGGCATTTATTCTAGTATAACTTCACTTTGGTGACTCCAGTAAGAAACTTCATGACACCATTGGATACGAGGGAGACAAAC